TCCACCAGCTGCTCCTTGGAAACCCTATGGGGCAGTTCTACTCTGTCCTATAGGGTCGCTATGAGCCGGAATCGACTCAATGGCAATGGGTTTTTAGGGACCTTATGACAGAGTGAAGCCATTATTAAAATGTAAATGTTCCCAGCCTTTCCTGAAAAGAGGAATGCTGTTTTTCTGACTTAATCTTCTGCCTGGGTTCCCTGTCCATTGAGGTGCACCTTTCTCTGCCATCCGCAGTTCCTGCCTTTCGTTTTTTAAAACAATGAGAGAATGGAGGGAAAAAGGCAGGGCTGGAGGGAAAAGAAAGGACTTCGGTATATAGGCTACATTGATCTACATGATGAAGACGAGGGAGAAAAAATATTTCATAATCTGGGGAATGTTGATAAAGTTGTTTTGGGAGTGAGGAGGGATTTGGCAAAGTGAGAGGGCTCATAGAATCTGGGATATGAGAGGAATGAGGAGAGGAACGGGATTGGGAGATGTTTTGTTTAGAGTATGAATTGGATACCTGTTTTAGTTGCCTGTGGCTGCTATAATAAATTAATACAAACTGGGTAATTAAAGCAACCGAAATTTAGTTTCTCACAGTTCTGGAGGCCCGAAGTCTGAAATCAGTATCACTGAGCTGAAATAAAGATGTCGGCAGGGCAGTGCTCCCTTGGAAGCCTCTAGGTAAGAATCCATTCCTTGTCTCTTCCAGTTACTGGTAGCTGCCAGCATTACTGGCTTTGTGGCCACATCACTCCAGTCTTCAAGGCCAGCATCTTCAAATCTGTCTCTCTGCTCTGTCTTCACATTTGCCTTCTCCCCTGTGTATAGTCAAATCTTCCTCTTCTCTTTCTTGTAAGTATACATGTGATTGCATTTTGGGACTGCCCTGATAATCCAGGATAATCTCCCATCTTCAGAGACCCTGATCCCATATAAAGTAACATTCTCAGGTTCCAGGGATTAGGATGTGGATTTTTTGGGGGGATGGGTGGGTGGTGAGGCATTTTTCAGCCCACCATAACACCCTTTAATGTTTTCCAAAAAGTAAAGTTTAGAATCCCAGTTTTATTCTTGCCTGTTTGATGGTATTCATTGAAAGTGAATTCTTTCAGAGACTAGACCACATGGAAAGGGGAGGTACAATGGTTACACAGATTCAGCTTTTTGAGTGTCTAATAGGGACCTAGAGCCCTGGTGGTGCAGTGGTTAAGAGCTCGGCTTCTAACCAAAAGGTTGGCAGTTCGAATTTACCAGCCACTTGGAAAACCTATGGAGCAGCTCTGTTCTGTCCTATGTAATCGCTATGAGTCGGAATCGATGGGTTTGGTTTGGTTTTTTGGTCATGTGGGCCTGGAGTCCCTACGTGGTGCAAATAGTTAACACACTTGGCTGCTAACTGAAAGGTTTGAGGTTGGGAGTCCACCCAGAAGCACCTCGGAAGAAAAGCCTAGTGATCTACTTCTGAAAAATCAGCAACTGAAAACCCTATGGAGCACAGTCGCCATGAATTGGAATCAACTCGAGGCAACTAGTAACATGGGCCTGGAACTTTTTCATCCATTATCTCATTTTATCCTTAAAACCATCCTGTGAGGTAAATATTCAAGGATGGCACAAACAGTTAAGTGCTTTTCTACTAACCAAAAGATTGGTGGCTTGAATCCACCCAGAGGCACCTTGGAAGAAAGGCCTGGTGATCTACCAAAAGATCACAGCCATTGAAAACCCTATGAAGCGCAGTTCTACTCTGAAACACATGGGGTCACCATGAGTCGGAATCAACTCAATGGCAACTCGTTTTTGGTTTTTATAGATGAAGAAGTGAAAGCTCAGGATTTTGCGAGTTACTTAAATTTGTAAGTGTAAGTGAAAAAGTCGAGATTTGACTTTTTCTGACTCCAGCCCTGTGCTTTCCCCTCCACGCCTCATTAAAGTATACGACCGTTGCCATTCTTCACTGTGCCGAGCCGTGTTCTAGTGTCCATAAGCAATCAATAAACGCCATTGTATTGGTTGTTGTGGTTGTTTCCCCTCAAAGAACGTGATTTGAATGTAGGACACTGACTGCCTGGTGATGTTTTTAAAGTCCCTGCTGCACACAGAGGATCAGGATTGCTGCAGCTTTCCTTCCAAAAGAAGGTTGGGGAGGTGATAAGAATAAAGGTGGGAATGGCAGTGGATGCACAGAGGACCCCAAAAGACAAAACAAAAGCTGGAACAAAACGAAGGTCGTTGGTAGTGGTTCATTAGTTGTAACAAATGTACCACAGGAATGCAAGATATTACAGGAGCGACTGTATGGGGGCGGGGAGGAAGAAGTGGGAACTCTTTACTTTCTGCCTAACTTTTCCGTAAACCGAAAACTGCTCTAAAAAATAAAATCTGTTAAAAAAAAAGAAAAGTTGATGGTGGTGTTTTTCAAAATGTGGTTCAGAAGCTGCAAGATCACACTCCCCGTTGCCGTCAAGTCGATTCCGACCCATATCGATCCTATAGGACAGAGTAGAACCGCCCCATAGGGTTTCCAAGGAGTGGCTGGGAGATTCAAACTACCGACCTTTTGGTTAGCAGCCAAGTCAAGATCATACTAGAAGCCTTCATATTGGTCATTGAGTTGATAAGTCTGTATGGAACTCATGTCTGTGCTTTTGCTTCAGCCACAAAGAATGAAGCATTATATTCAACCAAATACAGATCCTCATAATTGGGGCCATTTAGCCATTTATTTTGATGCCTCTTTCTTTCTTAGGTAGGAATATTAGGAAACCAATGGTGGGGGGCAACCTGTGAGGTCTTTGATTCTGCCAAAGTTAGCCATGAACTGAAAAGATCTAAGAGATTCTTTGTGTTCTCTGTGTGGTCTTAGCTATTCTATTATTGTCGTTGTATGCATTTGATTCGATTTTGACTCATAGTGCCCCTATAGGACACAGTAGAAGTGCCCCATAGGGTTTCCTAGGTTGAAGTCTTTACAGAGCAGATTGCCAGGTCTTTTCTCCCATGGAGCCACTGATGGGTTCGACCCGCCAAGCTTTTGGTTAGCAGCCTAGCTCTTTAACCAGTGCGCCACCAGGGCTCCTTCGAGAGGGCTTACCCATTGCCATCGAGTTGATTCCGACTCATAGCAACTCTATAGGACAGAGTAGATCTTCCCCATAGGGTTTCCAAGGAGTGGTTGGGGAATTTGAACTGTCGACCTTTTGGTTAGTGGCCAAGCTTTTAACCATTGCTCCACCAGGGCTCCTCATGAGGGTTTAGCTTGCCATAAATAAGACATGGTGGCAAAGATAAAGCATAACTTCTTCTGAAGAGAGAAAAGCAGAATATATTGGTGTGAATGCCTATGAAAATGTCTTAACTTGCACACGCTGAAAGATGCTGCTCTGAGACCTCACCAGCTCTTATAGAGAGGGTCAGTGCAGATGGTTAGTTATTTGTAATCCAAGTGCAACTGGCCCTCCTTGGACAAGCCCTTGCAGCTGCCCTACAAATTTCTTATACCTGGAAGAAATAGAAACGTATATGATTCTTTAAAAGCACAGAAGAGTGGGAAGAGTAATGTTAATTGTTACTACTTTCTTTTGGATGCATTGCACATCACTCTTCAACATTTATCTTTCTCTAAAGTTCTGTTCCCAATGACAGCTGCCCAAACAACCCCATTTTCCCACCCAACATTTCTTCTCCATACCAGTGAGGAAGCCCCTCTACCCCCAGAAAATCTGTACTTTTTCTCATGCAAAGAAATTTGGCCTTTCTCTTTTGATTTCTGCCATTTGCATCCCCACCAATTACAAAGGGTCTTCATATGGATCTGTCTTCTTTAGACGATACAACAGAAAGGTTTGAAAACAACTAATAATTTATTATTTTTCTTTATAGCACATTTATTCAATGACCATTTACTGAAAGCTTAACAAGCATATAGGTGCTAGATGTAAAGTCCAGTAAGATGTCCTATCCTCATAGAACCTCCAACTAGTAGGTGAGACAAACAATTAGCTATAAATTCCTATTCAGTGTATTCAGTGTATTAAGTGCTGTGATGGAATATTGCTCAGGATGCTTTAGATGCACTTAACAGGAATATCTAAATGATATGAAGGTGGGAGAGGGACTTGGGAGAGGAGAGGATACTGGGACTTAGTACTCAGTGGTTAGATGAGAAGGAGTTAGTAAGGTAGGCAAGAAAGGTAAGGAAGTTAAGATTCACGGTAGACAGCTCAGCATATACAAAGGCATGATGTGTTTGAGGACCTGGAATTCCACATAATGCAAGTGAAAGGCATTTGTGGAAAAGTGTAGAAGATGAGGATGGAGGCATAAGAAGGGGTCAGATTAAAGAAAGGACTGATAATGCTATACTAAGGAGATTTAGAGTTTATACTGAAAGGAGTGGAGACCCATTGAGAAATTTTAACCAGGTGTCAGTTATCTAATGCTGCTTTAACAGAAATACCACAAGTGGATGGCTTTAACAAACAGAAATTAATTTTCTCACAGTTTAGGAGGCTAGAAGTCCAAATTCAGGGTGCCGGCTCTAGGGGAAGGCTCTCTCTTTCTCTCAGTTGGCTCTGGAGGAATGTCCTTGTCTCTTCAGCTTCTGTTTCCCAGTTCCTTGGAGATCTCCATGTGTCTTGGCATCAGTCTTCTCTGGGTGCAGTGTGATAGGTCACTTTTGTGTGGCCTTTCTCACCAAGGTCTTGTAACTCCCACCCCAATGATTAGATGGGACTGTGTGATA